GTTTAAACAATTCAGAAATCTATAAATTTCTATATTTAACAATATGTATTTGTATAGAGTATTCTGCATAGCAACTAAAGATTATATCTATATATAATTTAAATTTATAGAATTTAATTTTAGTTTAATATATAATTAAAAATAAAATTTCATTTTTTTCATTAATTACTAACACTTACATGTATAAAGTATTTTATAAATATTTATTTTCCATTATCTGATACTCGATTTTGATAATGTTGTGTCTACAAAAAAGAAAAAGTGCACTTAAAAGTATGACTCAGTTAATGCAGTTTTATCTTAATCTAAAAGTATTGCTAGAAGGTAGAGAATATTCAACATTACTCACGTTATTATCTAAATTTTTATATTTTCTAAATCATTATTTATCGCTATAAAATTAAGAGAAATCCTTCTCGGTCTAGTTAGATTAATATAAAGTTAATTCAATAGAGATTTAACTCTTATAAGCACTTGTAGTTCCACTCTTCTGCTTGGATAAGTTTAGCTAAGAGCATGAAAGAATGACAGATGGCCAGTCACGTGAGTAAGAGGAATGGACAATTCCACAAGAGAAATACCTGAAAATATGGAATACCAATTGTGCCAATGGAAATCATTCAATTTTCCGTTTTGGATTCTATCAAAGAGTATTCTAAAGCTGTTTAAGTTATAATAATTTAAAAATATAATATTTTCGTTCTATATTCATAAACTTTTTATATTTATTCAATAAATTATAGGATCTATATTTATTAAAATTCATTTACTTTATTATAATTTGTCCCCAAATTTAGTTGAAGATAGAATCATAAACTAGATAAGAAAACTAGATAAGAAAAGAAGGCGTTTTAATATAAAATTTTAATTTTAGAAGCTTCTAGATTAATGCAAATAATGGGAACTTAATCAGATTTGAATAGTTATATTGATAATGAAATTGGTACTGACTGGACTACATAGAGAAGGTTAAGAGATAGACGGCAATCGTAACCTGTCGAAATTAATGGACTTTTGTTCGACCGTTGGACCACACCATCGTTGCCATAGAGACAGGAAATTACGAAATGTCGAGACAACGTGTGTCAACAACAGCGCTCATGGTTATTAGTTCTGATCTATAATATATACATTCGCATAAACGAAGCTCGATAGAAGAAGAAATGCTCTTAGAAGCTTTGTTTGATTTACTAAAATTTTAATCAATAATTTACAATTTTATTTACTTATTTTAATAATAATTCTGAAGTAAATATTGGGTGTTTTTTTATTTTCCAAGGTTAATTATCAATCATAAAGTTTATCGATGCTGTCAACACGTATATGTAAATACCCTGTAAATGATGCTTCACTGTCGAGTTAGATTCATCTGAGGAAAAGCCCCTATTGAAGGGATCTGATAAATTTTACGGTTTTACTCGAGTTTTCAACAAACTATATGCTTTTAAATAAAGAATATAATGCTTTATTAATTTCAGAATTTATATAAATGTTTTTTTGCTATTTATAAAGAACAAAAACAAAAATAAACATTAAGATCTGCTATTGTTGTACACTTGTCAGTCATAGTGACATTCGCTTTCTAGCTACAAGACGAAGGAATTTTTCAGTTATATTTCTTTAAATATATACAAAAATATATTAAAATACTTAAAATAAAGTATCTACATCAGTTTATATTATATAAAATACAATATTTTATACAAATAATTATAGAAAAGTGTGCAGAATTTTGATACGTACACCTTTAGTTTAACTGTTTTATTACTAAATAAATAATAAAATTATTCATAAATATCGTTTATAGCAACCCTAAATTAAATATTAAATCACAAGAACGGGTCACGGATGGCATTTGAATAATTTTAATTAACTTATATAAATAATTTTCCTTAGAATGAATTAAACAAATCATGCATCGAAGTACTAACATGTATACTACATTAGAAAATTGACAGCTTAGCTAAGCCACATGAAACATTTTTCTTGGTACACATTTCGATCGTAGTAAAGCCATTTTATTGATTTTTATAGTTCTGAACAGTTCAAGGTAGCAAATACAGGTTGGAACAACACGTTATCTTTCACGAAATGGAATGGAGTGAAAATTATTCTTTTACTTTAAGCAAATAAAGGAAACATTCTATTATAAATTATAGCTTTTATTACTCGATAAATTCTATTTTTTACTAATATTTTTTACATAAAAAATGTATGGAGTTAATATAATTGTATCAGAAAATCCTTTCTCTTAATTAACATATACATCGATCTGTATAAATTATTTAATCTTATCACTTCGTATAATTACTGTATCAGATGTCTGTGAATTTAAGCATTTATTCTAATATTAAACTACTATATAAATTTATAGCATACGATTAAAGTAATCGCGAGGAGTAACGTGAAAAATCTTCTCTCATTTATTATATTAATTTTTAAAGTTTATGATAATAATTTGTAAAGTTAATAAATTCGAATTAATATTAAAAATTTTTTAGAGAATAAACTGCTAATATTAACAAGATATTTATTAAAATATAAGCAGAATTCGATCCTAGAGAGGCGGTTTATGAGTTAAGTACATTCACAAATGTGGTGTGAGGATAAATGATAATTTATTTATAGATATTATATTTAAATTATCATCATAAAACACACACAAAATATGAATTTTATAGCAAATTTTGTATGTATTAAATCGGTAATAATGATATTTATCATTCGTTTCATTAAATTATATAGAGTAATATTCACTAATTACAAATAATCTCATTAATCCTGTTATTTTCTAAACGCTATTATATGACTTTTATTATCCTATTATATTTAAATTGTCGGCTATTTTTCTTTAATAATAATTCTATTTTATTATAAATGCACTCGAAACGATTTGCTTCTAATTATATTTATGTTAATTTAATTAAATATTATCATAGTTTTTTCCATTATTATCAAAAGATGCTGAAGAGCAGAAGATTCAGAAGATGCTGAACATTAATTATTCTGTTAGGATATTTGAATATATTTAGATTGTTTTGATTGTTTCTGGAGAATTTTTAAAAAATTTCGTTTTCTCCGATAAAATAATTAAATATTTTAATTATTTTGACGTTTATAATGTTGGATTTTAATAGAGNTATAAATATTTATTTTCCATTATCTGATACTCGATTTTGATAATGTTGTGTCTACAAAAAAGAAAAAGTGCACTTAAAAGTATGACTCAGTTAATGCAGTTTTATCTTAATCTAAAAGTATTGCTAGAAGGTAGAGAATATTCAACATTACTCACGTTATTATCTAAATTTTTATATTTTCTAAATCATTATTTATCGCTATAAAATTAAGAGAAATCCTTCTCGGTCTAGTTAGATTAATATAAAGTTAATTCAATAGAGATTTAACTCTTATAAGCACTTGTAGTTCCACTCTTCTGCTTGGATAAGTTTAGCTAAGAGCATGAAAGAATGACAGATGGCCAGTCACGTGAGTAAGAGGAATGGACAATTCCACAAGAGAAATACCTGAAAATATGGAATACCAATTGTGCCAATGGAAATCATTCAATTTTCCGTTTTGGATTCTATCAAAGAGTATTCTAAAGCTGTTTAAGTTATAATAATTTAAAAATATAATATTTTCGTTCTATATTCATAAACTTTTTATATTTATTCAATAAATTATAGGATCTATATTTATTAAAATTCATTTACTTTATTATAATTTGTCCCCAAATTTAGTTGAAGATAGAATCATAAACTAGATAAGAAAACTAGATAAGAAAAGAAGGCGTTTTAATATAAAATTTTAATTTTAGAAGCTTCTAGATTAATGCAAATAATGGGAACTTAATCAGATTTGAATAGTTATATTGATAATGAAATTGGTACTGACTGGACTACATAGAGAAGGTTAAGAGATAGACGGCAATCGTAACCTGTCGAAATTAATGGACTTTTGTTCGACCGTTGGACCACACCATCGTTGCCATAGAGACAGGAAATTACGAAATGTCGAGACAACGTGTGTCAACAACAGCGCTCATGGTTATTAGTTCTGATCTATAATATATACATTCGCATAAACGAAGCTCGATAGAAGAAGAAATGCTCTTAGAAGCTTTGTTTGATTTACTAAAATTTTAATCAATAATTTACAATTTTATTTACTTATTTTAATAATAATTCTGAAGTAAATATTGGGTGTTTTTTTATTTTCCAAGGTTAATTATCAATCATAAAGTTTATCGATGCTGTCAACACGTATATGTAAATACCCTGTAAATCTTTAAGAAAAATATTCACATCTCATGGCAATAAAATGATACTTTTATATTATTTAAACTATATTTTATAAAAGAATTTTTCTGCAGAAAGCTTCTAAATCGATATCGTTAGAGAAAAAAAATATTTTTTTAGATGATTTAAACGGGTTTTTGACATTTTTATTTATCATATGCTTTTAAAATCAGTTTTTATTTGATAAATTTAAAGCTATTTTCTTCATTTTTTGATTCGATATTTATGCACTAGTTTATCAATTTTCTATGCTACACATGCACAAATTTATTCATTTTCTATCCTATACATGTGAAAATTTATCTAGTTTTTTATGCTACATAAACATGAATTAATCGTGTACTGTGCTTTACGTATACAAATTTATCCGTTTTCTACTCTACACATGTGCAAATTTATCAACATATTTAAGCATAAACATGTTTAGAATCGTGTTTTTCTTGTATTTACAGTTATAAAGTACAATTTTCCTTATCGAATTCCCGATATTTTAAACACTCTCTAACATTAAATGATAGATTTACTCCAGCTTCCAGGTTATATCATTCGATAATATAGCATTAATTTAGCTGTTACAGGGAGGTAAATATGATTTATTGTTATTTTTAAAACGTTCTTTAGATACTAAAACGTATCTCAACCTTCTTTTATAATGAGAATTTATCGATTTGTAAGACTGGCGAGTGAGCGCCTTCGGGAAAGTACAGAAGCTGGCTCCATCTATGTATGCTCTTACAGACAGTATCCAGAATCCTACAGGATATGTTCAACATCTGAACGCTGTTCGTCTAAGCTCTAACACTGTTTCGTGGTATGCTTATAAGAAAATTCATATTAAAGGTAAGCATCAACCTTTTCATCCCTACATCAACTGATGCTGAACTTATCTTACCTTTCACTTCTTTAGTAGCTGTTTATATTCATGAGTTTAATTAATAACTAGACATTAGAAGAAAATTTTAATAAGTGTTTCTAGAAAAATTCATTTTTTTCATACTTTTTCTTTAAGTAAATATCTTGTTATGGACTTAAAATATAATGATATTAAACGTTTTATGAGCTATTTCTGTGCTATGAATGGTGTCGAGTTTAATTTTTTTGTGAATTAATTAATTAATTCTTACTTAATATTTTTCTGTCTGTAAAATTATTATTTTTTAAATTTTATACTCATTTTGTTACATTGTTTTTTCAAGTTTAAACAATTCAGAAATCTATAAATTTCTATATTTAACAATATGTATTTGTATAGAGTATTCTGCATAGCAACTAAAGATTATATCTATATATAATTTAAATTTATAGAATTTAATTTTAGTTTAATATATAATTAAAAATAAAATTTCATTTTTTTCATTAATTACTAACACTTACATGTATAAAGTATTTTATAAATATTTATTTTCCATTATCTGATACTCGATTTTGATAATGTTGTGTCTACAAAAAAGAAAAAGTGCACTTAAAAGTATGACTCAGTTAATGCAGTTTTATCTTAATCTAAAAGTATTGCTAGAAGGTAGAGAATATTCAACATTACTCACGTTATTATCTAAATTTTTATATTTTCTAAATCATTATTTATCGCTATAAAATTAAGAGAAATCCTTCTCGGTCTAGTTAGATTAATATAAAGTTAATTCAATAGAGATTTAACTCTTATAAGCACTTGTAGTTCCACTCTTCTGCTTGGATAAGTTTAGCTAAGAGCATGAAAGAATGACAGATGGCCAGTCACGTGAGTAAGAGGAATGGACAATTCCACAAGAGAAATACCTGAAAATATGGAATACCAATTGTGCCAATGGAAATCATTCAATTTTCCGTTTTGGATTCTATCAAAGAGTATTCTAAAGCTGTTTAAGTTATAATAATTTAAAAATATAATATTTTCGTTCTATATTCATAAACTTTTTATATTTATTCAATAAATTATAGGATCTATATTTATTAAAATTCATTTACTTTATTATAATTTGTCCCCAAATTTAGTTGAAGATAGAATCATAAACTAGATAAGAAAACTAGATAAGAAAAGAAGGCGTTTTAATATAAAATTTTAATTTTAGAAGCTTCTAGATTAATGCAAATAATGGGAACTTAATCAGATTTGAATAGTTATATTGATAATGAAATTGGTACTGACTGGANAGAAGATTCAGAAGATGCTGAACATTAATTATTCTGTTAGGATATTTGAATATATTTAGATTGTTTTGATTGTTTCTGGAGAATTTTTAAAAAATTTCGTTTTCTCCGATAAAATAATTAAATATTTTAATTATTTTGACGTTTATAATGTTGGATTTTAATAGAGAAATGGAATATATTTTATTATAGCTTCTGATAATAAAGAGTTCTTTAATCCAGTCAAGTTGTAATCGGCTTTTCTGGACATTTCCTACTTCTTAATGCTGATTGTGAAAAGGATCTTAGGGAATTACCACATAACAATTTTGCATAACAAGCTCACAATCTCATTTGTAAAGAATTCGATTAAATTTAATAGGAGATGATAAAGAAAAATATTTTTTTAAATTATTAAAACAATTTTTATTAAAGGAAGTGTTATCAAAATCGAAAAATTATCTTAAATTATTTATAACTTTTATTTAATTTATAAAATAATAACATTGTTATCGTTAAGGAATTAACTTTCAAATCAATGTCACGTTGTTAACTCTCTTTACATTATTATTTAAATTTAGTTTTTTTCAGATTTTCTTTCGTGTTTTTCGCGCATTTTAATTCATTAATATTTATAACAACAATTTAAAATTTTTAGAAAAAACTTTTATAATAAGTTTATGTACTTATTCCATTTTAATTTTATGTTATGACTTTAAGATGAGTGATGAATTAATACATGCATTACTTACATTGTTTAAACATAATTTTCCAACCGAAAATTAGCTTTTGTAATAACAATAATAATAGTAGATTGACAGAAATTCTTTAAATTAATTTCTAGAAGCGATAGAATAATATCTTAAAGGATTATTAAAATGAAAATCTTTATTCAAGTGATGCAGCTCCGAAGATAACCTGAAGGATGCTGGCTTTTAACTCGAATTTTTTAAGAAGAATTTTTATAGTAAGATTGCTTAATTTTTATTACGTTTTCGCCTATGTAATAAACTTATTTGCTTTCAAACTTTTATCACATTAAGTGTTATACAACGTTTGAATTATTCGTACCAACTATCAGCAGATAAAATTGCCGATTTATAGCTAACAATCATGTGACTTTTCATCTAAATTATTCTAATACAAAAGGATGTAGCGTGCAGAGAATACCAAAGTTCGATACTTTATTATAATACTAAGCCAATGCATAGCACGCACATCCATCATTCGCAATTATATATATAAAAAAAGAAAAAGTATCCCAAAGATTCATGAGATCGTATCTACTCCAACGTTGTACTGTACATGTTCTGTTTTTCTCAGCGCAAAGTAGTTTATACTCTAAAATGTTTTATAAATTATCTAAAATACATAAATTATGACTCTAAGCTAATCTATAAAATCGTGTACGTGTTTTTAAAATCGAATAAAACACATGTTTACACGGATACAAACATCCATTACCTACTAACGATTTAGCTTAAAATTTTGCTATTTTTTTGATGCTATAAAAGGATTTTTTTTCTCGATTCTAAAAATTATCTAAAGAATGAAGAATAGAAGGATTGTTTTTTCACAGTTTTTTTATGTATTTTTAAAAGAAAATTTCAAAAAGTGATTATTGATTCTCTCTTCGTCTACGTGCTGACTAGACTATCCATTCTGCCATAACCTTCCATCTTTTACAATTTCCTCCAAACAAAACTACGTGACTTCATTTAAAAAGACAGTAAATAATTATAAAAAAAATCTCATTAAAATTTCAAAAAATCAGAAATTATTAAGAAAAACTCCAATCTTTTAACAATTTCTAACTCCATCCGGAAGCCTCTTATCAAAAAATTAATATAGATTATCTTTAAATAATCGATAACTCAATGTGTAAGTGATAATCTAAGACAAGGATAATTATATAAATTAAATACTTTACAGACGTATTTAATCATTTATTATATTAAAATCGAATTTTTTTGAGTTAATTTTTATAAGAGGATAGAATGATCTTGAGCATCAGTAAATATAAAAATTTAAGAATTTGTATATAATTAATCATCCTATCTTCTACCAATAATTGTGTCTTGTGTATAATATATGATACTTTTAGCTTTGTTGTAACGTTAAAATTGCTGTAACATAAATCAATACCTGTATATATGGCCATTGCACACTGTAATAGTCGACTATCACGTACAATGAACTATACAAAAATAGAATTCGTTCAATATTTGAAGTCGGGTTTTCTACTTTAACTCATGATTTCTCACTTAAATAATTAATTTATTACGAAAAAAATCATACTAGACCGATGTTTACTAAAGATAATTTCATGTTTTATGAATTATATAATAGATAATATCATGATTTTTTCTTCTTAACTGCGTGCATACATTTGTATATGCAAGAAGTTAACACGTTTGTCCGTTTTTTTTGAAGCTTGATTAAAAAATATCTGTAAATAATTTAATAAATTCGTGTTTTTAGAACGAATTTCTAGAAGTTTATTTAATGTTTTATAGTTATTTAATAACTGTTAGTTGTCTGTAAAAGACTAAATTTAAGAATTTTATCTGTATCGATTGTCAAGAGGTCAGATGCTGCTGTCATTTGGAATTTTTGTAGATAATTTCCTCTTGGAACTGTTGTGGGAGTTCAATTTCCTAAAGGTTGATCGTTCTTCTTGAGCTTCCTTTTTTATCTTATTTTCCTTTCAGTTTTTTTATTGTTTTTCTACTTTTTCTTGATTCAGCATCCCTTCTCCAGATTTCTCATCCTTTCTTCAGCATCTTCAAATAATCAGTTTTTTCGAATTTCTAAATTTTTAGCTTTATTTAAAACTTTGTTTTTTTTTTACTTTTTTAGACTCTAAATTAATGTTTTATTAATGAGAAAGTCTTTCTAGAAGTAAAAAATATGAATTATTTACTGTATACAGAAATTGCAGACGGTGCGAATATATAAATTTATGTGAACGTCATCAATTTTTCTTGCAGTCAAAACTAAACTAGAAATCTTTACAATATGATAAAATATATATATATTTAAAATTAATTTTATGACATTTTTATAGTCTTAGAATTTTATATTTTTATAGCTTGAGGGTGTTGAGTTAAAAATAGAATTTATTTTCTAGTTCATCTTTTTAAAGTTCCGCTCTCTAACACGTTCCAGATGCTCAAACTTTAGTCGTGATTCTAGATTTATCGCTCTCTACAAGTGAATTTTACACCTGTAAATAATGTTTTTAAAGATTGAAAGATTTATTTTTTAGATATACAGATTTTTACAACTTAATTTATGATATTCTTAAAAATATTTGCATGAACAAGGACAAGCTACCACATCCTACAGATGTTGAGCTTATTTCGTAGAATATAAGTAAAAATTTGGTTCTAAAAAATATATAATTTATACAAAATACATGGAAAAAACTCTAAAAATTCAACTATTTATAAGTAGAATCCAAAAAAAATTTATTTATTATTTTTTAAAGAATCTTTTTGTTGAAGTAGGAAGGTTAGAGACGGCAAATTGTATAAAATAAAGCTTACCACGTAGAATATGAGTAAAAATTTGGATAAAAAATAAAAAATTAGAAAATTATATTAAGTATAAACCTAAAAAATTCAACTCTTTACCAGCAGAAATATAAATAATAACTGCAAACCTCAAAAGAAAACCGAGATAAATGATGAAAAAATCGAAAAGAACTCATTAAAATTAAATGAATTTTCTTAAAAATCGACCAAGAAACATATAGAAATAACAAATAATTTATATATATATATATATATTTATATTTATATATTTATATTTATGCCATTAAAATAGCTTCCTGTACAAAAACCTATAATTGTTATTACGGATAGTGCAGGTATCATGCATCTAAATCCGCCATCATTTTACGAAAATCGGCAAGTAAATTGTAATCTGGATCTTCGTCGATGTCCACCATGTCCTGAGATGAGTCCAATTTACGGAATGTTGGATTATATCGAGATAAACAAAGAGGACATGGCAATAACTCTGGCATGACGGAATGGTGAGTAATGAGTGCAGTCAATGTGCTGAATTCTTTGGTGAAACCCTAAAAAAAATAATAATAAAATATATATATTAATGAAGTATTTTTAATGTAAATCATTAATAAAACATTTGAAAAGTTCGAATTTGAATTTAGAAAAGTAAATTTTAAATTATATCGATGCTAATTAGACTGTGTTTTCAGGTATTTATGATTAAGGTAGAAGGGGGTAAGCAGGTCTTGGATCGAGCCTAGAACATGGACGGGCTCCTAAAATTTAATATTTTATATAGGAAAACATGATATATATTTTTAATCATTTGTATACTTTCATATTTGGTATTTTTTAGCTTTAGGAGAGGTTGGGGACTCCACATTTTTACAGACTTAAACACACTTACAAAGGGTCTAAAGAAATTTAATTTTATATTGAAAAAATAATTTTAAATAAATATAAAATTAATAAAATTAATGATTTAAGATGTTATTTTTAATTGTCTCCAAACAGGACTTAAATCATTAAATGTATCTTGAAATTTTAAAAGATTCAGTTTCTTAAATTATATAAATTGATAATTCTTCTTCTTATGTTAAGAATTATTTATGTGGAAGAGTTGTAAGAAAAGAAGGAAAACACTAAAAAATTTATCGTCCCTAATAATTAGTGGTGTAGCTGACAACTTATCTACTTCCCGGTGACAAAGATAAATTTTAGTGCAAACACAAACCTTGATCTTGTAACCTCGATTTGTTCTCATGATAAGATAATGGGCAATTCCGGATGGGTGGAAATCTCTAGGCACTCGCAGAGACAAAGCATAGCATCCTGGTTTACTCGTGCTTTCTCTCACCATAAAAGATCCTACAGGCTCTTGAGCCAACACTTCCAACGCTATTTCCCTGCAAAAATGAACACGTTCAACAATCACCTACTTAAAGAAATTTGTAATTAAAAATCACTTCAAAGTTTTTAGAAAAGGAGGAAAGGGAGGGGGGAAAATATATGTACAGTACATTTTTCTAACGAATATCTTACTCGAGTAAGTTTGAAATATTTGATTTTACTTATGATTTATGTGAGCTTTCTGGATCATCGATTTATATAAAATTAATTTCATTTTGAATAAAATAGCCCTTTTAAAATTATGCAAATGTGTCGACTAACCTCGGTATTCCTGCTTGGAACCAAGGTGCACCCTTAAGTTCTTTCTCTTCAGACATCTGAGCGTGAAGAGAATCGTATCTGTACAAAAGTAACGAAGAATAGGGTCAAATATATATAAAATAATAATAATAATAAATTGAAGTTATTGTAATATACCTTTCCGGTGGAGGTGGGGGTGGTGTGCTGCTGTTACTACTGCTATGACTTATTCGTTTTCCTCTACATCCTACTGATTCTGATTTATCGTCCCCCGATACCACAGAATCGGAAAGAGAGGGTGCACTGTGGTCACAAGAAGACTGAGATGACCTCTTACTGCTGAAATCACTAGAGAGTTCCAATAGACTTTCTTCATCAGTGGCTGGTGCCGTCGGTAACTGGCTCGTTCTACACAGTTGGAAGCTCTGTATAAAAATAATTTAATCCTGTATAAATTTATTTAAAAAAACAAGTCTTAATACAGCCATTTATAATGTACAATGCCTGTTATTTCGGCATTTATATATTATATAAATCTGTGTTTAAATTTTAAATGAAATTCTTTAGATTTCGCCTACTTCATAGCTTTGAAAGTAATTTTTATAGATAAATAAATGAGAAAAAGGACCATAAAATAGATTCCTGTATACGATTCTGTTGTTAAATTACATTTAAAAGTTTAAAATTGTCACTAAAAACTCACATTTTTCTTAGGAGAGAGTGGATTAATCTCTTGACTGTTTTTTCCTTCCCAATTTGAAGCTTCGTTAACGTAACCCCCCGACAGAGGACGATTATGACTCATTACTTTTCCATCAGATTTTTCTCCAACGTCTACTGTTTTCAGCAGGGGTGGTTTTTCTTTCATCTGCTTCCACGTGTTCAGTTCTGTAGGAGAATTGTTATCTTCGCTGCTACTTGGAGACCACAGATCACCGCTTGTTGCGTCACCGTTCGTTACGGAAGTTGTAACTTGTAGAGCCAAAGAAAAGTTACTGTTCCTACCGAGGAATGTTGGAGATGATGATCCTGAAGAAGAGGGATGTGCAGAGTCGTGGAATGTTCCATTATTAGTAGTCACAATGTCCATGTCGGGGTTAGATGATGTGTTGAGTTCTAAAACGCTGCTGATTAATGGGTCATTATGGCGTGTTTTCCCTACTATCTTCTTTGCCTGAAATTGTAAAAATTGTTTCATTTCTACTGAATTGTTATAAGATTACGTAGAACACAGAACAAAGTAGAAACAACAAAACTAAATTACGTAGAACAAAGTATAAACAGCATTCAACACTGACTTCTGTATATCCTCATCTTTTTTTTATTATCTGACAAATATAGGATTATGCTATATGAAAAGTTTTTCATTATTAAAAACTTCATTTCAAGAGCGTCATAAAGAAAATAAGTAATGAAAGATTGCATAGATTCTCAGCGATCCCACTCCAACCCGAGACTTAAGGTTGATTAGTGTGAACATCAAACGTGAAGTAGAAATTAACCATAAAAATTCTGATTTACAGCCTTTACTCTTCTACAATTGGAAAAGGGAGCATAAAATGCATCCAACAACAAAATATTCGCGTTTTCAGCAATAAAATTGGCGACACACTACCTAAAAATCCACTTGATAGAATTAAAGCTCTCTCTCTCCTTCTCTCGGCTGCTCCTCTACAATTCAAAGACAAAAGGATGAAGAAGTTTTTTGCCAGTACAGACCCACTCAACAGATATTATTGGGATTGGTTGCTATGGTGACGAGAGTTGAACCAAACTAATGTGGATGGAACAAGACGTGGAGATTAGGGTGATGTCGGTATTGCTGTCTACACTCTAGGGATCCCCACAGGTGGATTCAGATCCACGAAGATTAAGCAACAATCTGTCAGGGATCGAATGACTTTTGCATTTATCACGTTACCGACCTGAAAGATTATAAGCGAACCAACGTATGTTATTAACACATATTATGATCATTGATCCTCTTTACTTCAGAAACTTTCTAAGCTTCTTCCATTCACCTAACTTAAACTTATAGAATCTAATAATTGTAAGCATCTTCTATAATATTTTCTAGTTTAATGTAGTCCTATAATAGGAATAAAAATTCTATTTATTTCCTTATTCTGCAATGTTGAATATAAGCAAAATTAAACCTCCGTTTTCCTATATTCAACGTAGTTTAATAACTTATAAAAGAAACCTGATAACTAAATATTGTTTATTTTAAAAACTTTATAAGGTTATAAAAGATTTTTTGGGCTTTAAATTGTTATTTCTTTCTAATCTCATTGCTTATACTATAACGTTCTTCCTCCCAGAAGAATTTTTCTCTCTCTCTCTCTCTCTCTCTTTTTTTTTAACTTAAGATGCTGGCTAAGATTAAAAGAATGAAACAAGAAAACCAGTCGGTATGAAATTCGATATCTTAGGTAGTGAAGTAGTTTGTCAGGTGAGCTTCTTCTGACGTGTGCTTCATTCTAAAGAAGCGTCAGTAAACTTTGTAACCTTATATCTAAAATTTCTTCCATACATTCCCTTTTGTTACATAAAAAGGATTTTCAAAATAGCATTGACTTCGCGACACGATACTATTCCCTAGACTTATTTGCATAAATCTATTAATTTATATAGGGTAGGGTAGTGAACAGTTTCTACCCCGTATAAAAAAAAGTAAATGAATTTTTTAAAATAAAATATATTATACTTTTTGAAATTTAATTGATATGAAATTTACAGTAAGTTTTATTTATATATAAAATAGGGATTTGAAAGAAAAATCAGCAATTTCGTGTTCTGATCTTGCTGTTATGTCAGATCTAAGTAGATACAGATGAAGGATTTTTTTCCTTTCAAAACAGATCAAAGAGGAATCGATCCTGAAAATCCGATTTCGATCATAAATATGTTGATCAAAATGTTTTTTTTCTTTTACCCCCATAATATAGAAAGAGGAATATATATGTATATTTATAAAAGTATATTGAATCTACGTATTTCACGTGCATTTTATTTCTTTACATTTCATTTTAATTCATTGTTCGTTCTCTCTTGCATATTTCATTTTCGTTATTTACTTTTATCATTCATACATTCCTTTATTAATAAATAATTTTTACAATTCACTTTCACTTATTTCATTCACTTTTTTTTTACTACATTTCATTCGTAATGAAATTGGTATAATTTTTTTACAAACGTAATTTTAATGAATTAAACGTGAAAATTACAACGTTTTCTTAAACTTTC